TCGTCGTCGTGGCCGTCGCCGCCGTCGCCGTCGTCATCGCCGTCGCCGTCGTCGTCGTCGTCGACGCCGTTGTCGCATTCGTCGTCGTCGTCTCCGTCGTCGTCGTCGTCGTCGTCGTCGTCGTCGTCGTCGTTGCCGTCGCCGTCGCCGTCGTCGTCGTCGTCGTCGTCGTCGTCGTCGCATCGTCCCGTCGTCGTCCGCCTCGTGTCGTCGCCGTCGTCGTCGTCGCCGTCGTTCGTCGTCGCCGTCGTCGCCGTCGCGTTCGTCTGTCGTCGCCGTCGTCGTCGCCGTCGTCGTCGCGCCGTGTTGTTGTCGCCGTCGTTTTTTTTTTCGTCGCCGTCGTTGTTGTCGCCGTCGTCGTCGCCGGCGTCGTCGCCGTCCGTCGCCGTGCCGCGTCGTCGTCGTCGTCGTCGCCGTCGTCGTCGTCGTCGTCGTCGTTGTTGTCGTCGTTTATTGTGTTTGTTGTTGGTTGTTTGTCGTTATTGTTGTTGTTGTTGTTGTTGTTGTTGTCGTTGTTGTCGCCGTCGTCGTCGCCGTCGTTGTTGTCGCCGTCGTCGTCGCCGTCGTCGTCGTCGTCCGTCGCCGTCGCCGCCGCCGTCGTCGTCGTCGTCGTCGTCGTCGTCGTCGTCGTCGTCGTCGTCGTTGTCGTCGTCGTTTTTTGTTGTTGTTGTTGTCGTTGTCGTTGTTGTCGTCGTCGTCGTCGTCGTCGTCGCCGTCGTCGTCGTCGTCGTCGTCGCCGTCGTCGTCGTTGGGCACGTTGGGCGGGCGGACCCTGATCGGGCGTGTCGGGCGGGCGGGTCGCTCGATGGGGCCCTGTGGGGATGCTCGAGCGCGCTGGCGCCAGGACTGCTGTACCACTCGCCTGGGACGGTACTGCTGGACTACAACCAGACGCTCGTGGGCAATTCGCGCTACTGGCTCTCAGAGGAGGCCAAGGAACCCATACCGCTATCCTTCCGTCGTTTTCGCCTTTCTGGGCCTCCTGTGAGGCCCTCGTCGCCACGAAATTCTGGTCAGAACGCACCCTAGGAGAGGTCCAGGGAGTAGCGGTATCGGTACCTTTTGGTTTCGGCAGGCTCGACGTCGAGGCTGGGGGCTGTCCCTACACGTTCGACCAGACTGCGGGGCATTTCAGGCGCGCCGACTAAAAGTTTTTTGGGTCAGCGGCGTGGGCAGACGTCAACGCGTTCGGTCAGCCTTTGGATTGCGCCGGGCAGAGCAAGTGGAAAAGAAGTCGGCGGCCGCGGAGGGGGAACGCTGAGGGAGGCCTCAGGAGTATATACCCTTTGCCACAAGGGGTGCGTAGGCGGCTTCAGGCACCGACAACTGGTGTAAGGGAAGTGAGTGGCCAGTGCGAGCTGCCGAGGGAACAGGTAGCGCATGTCCCACTGGAGAGGCAAGCCGCCATCCATTTGGCGGAAGGCAACATGCCTCTGCTGTGCTGCACCGACTACACCTAAAACAGTACGCAATCCGCGGACAACAAATGTCGCCGCGCCGTTGGTTCCGACGCACGGCCGTGCGTCTTGGGGAGGGCGCTTCGGCCACCAGGGCAAACGCCACCTCGGGTGGCGTTTCGTCTACTTGTGGCACGGGACGCAGGGTTTGCCGCGTGTTTGCCGCGGTGTCGGCGCGGGCGCGTCGAGAGGAAAACGGCGCGGCGACAAGTATAAATAAAACACAAAGATGATAAAAAGGCACGTCGACTACGACACCCACCCGCTCTTCATTCATGCCGCGGCTCAGTTCCAGGAGTGCCTCGACGCCCTGGCGCCCTCGCTCTCGGTCGGCGCGAGGCCTCCCAGAAGACTGAGCGGCGGCTGCTCGTACGGCTACGGCTCCGGATCCTGTGCGGACAGCACGGCGACGGAGACATCGTCTTTGTCAAGCACAACTTCGACTGTATCTTGGAGTCTCACTACGGGCACGAGCAGCTTTACTACTGTCACCACTGAAGCTTTGTACATTGACGGTCCGCGAGTGGCCAGTTCTGCGTGGTCGGGTCTATGCTACAGCTCTTCGACCACGAGGGCTAATGCTGAGGCGGCGTGCAATGCAGATCCTGATTGCTCTGCGCTGCACGACAACGATTGTACGGATACTGGCGTGCGGTATTGCTACAGCGCGATCAGTGACATTGTGGTGAACTGGGAGGGCACGGACAGCAGGGCGTGCACTTACGTCAAGTACCAGGTCACCACCAGCACTCTCACGACTGTCACCACTGAAGCTTTTTACATTGACGGTCCGCGAGTGGCCAGTTTTGCGTGGTCGGGTCTATGCTACAGCTCTTCGACCTCGAGGGTTAATGCTGAGGCGGCGTGCAACGCAGATCCTGATTGCATTGGCGCTGCTTGACAAACGATTGTACGGAATATCTGGTGTGCGGTATTGCTACAGGCGGCGTTCAGTGACATTGTGGCGAACTGGAGAGGGCACGGACAGCAGGGCGTGCTTTACGTCAAGTACCAGGTCACCACCAGCACTCTCAGCACAACCACATCAGTCAATGTGGCTGTCTCGACTGTCACCACGACGCTGACAACCGTATCCACTGAAGCTTTGTACATTGACGGTCCGCGAGTGGCCAGTTCTGCGTGGTCGGGTTTATGCTACAGCTCCCCGACCACGAGGGCTAATGCTGAGGCGGCGTGCAATGCAGATCCTGATTGCTCTGCGCTGCACGACAACGATTGTACGGATACTGGCGTGCGGTATTGCTACAGCGCGATCAGTGACATTGTGGTGAACTGGGAGGGCACGGACAGCAGGGCGTGCACTTACGTCAAGTACCAGGTCACCACCAGCATTCTCAGTACAACCACATCAGTCAGTGTTACTGTCTCGACTGTCACCACTGAAGCTTTTTACATTGACGGTCCGCGAGTGGCCAGTGCTGCGTGGTCGGGTCTATGCTACAGCTCCCCGACCTCGAGGACTAATGCTGAGGCGGTGTGCAACGCAGATCCTGATTGTTTTGCGCTGCATGACATAGATTGTACGGATACTGGCGTGCGGTATTGCTACAGCGCGATCAGTGACATCGTGGCGAACTGGGAGGGCACGGACAGCAGGGCGTGCACTTACGTCAAGTACCAGGTCACCACGACAAGCAGCACAGAAAGCAGCAGTAGCATCAGTAGTAAGACAGACACGTCTTCCCTGAGTAGGACCGCGATCAGCTCGACAACTATCGCAGCGACTAGTTCGGAAAGCATCACAACTTCAATCACGGCAGCGACGACCACGCAAAGCTCGACAACCGCTATCACATCAACATCGACCGGAGCTCTATACATTGACGGTCCGCGAGTGGCCAGTTCTGCGTGGTCGGGTCTATGCTACAGCTCTTCGACTCGAGGCTAATGCTTTTTGGGTTGAGGCGGGGCGTGCAAACGCAGATCCTTGATTGCATTTGCGCTGCATGGACAACGATTGTACGGTTCGTGGTGTTGCGGTATTGCTACCTTGTCTGATCAGTGACATTGTTGGCGAACGGGGAAGGCAATGAACACAGGGCGTGCCACTTACGTCAAGTTAAAGGTCACCCAGCCAGCACTCTCACGGACGGTCACCATCTGAGCTTTTACATTGACGGCACGCGAGTGGCCAGTTCTTGCGGTGGGTTGGGGGTGCTACAGTCTCTCTTTTTTTCGGACCTCGAGGGCTAATGCTGAGGCGGCGTGCAACGCAGATCCTGATTGCATTGCGCTGCATGACAACGGTTGTACGGATACTGGTGTGCGGTATTGCTACAGCGCGATCAGTGACATTGTGGCGAACTGGGAGGGCACGAACAGCAGGGCGTGTACCTACATCAAGTACCAGGTCACCACCAGCACCCGGACCACCAGTACAAGCAGCACAGAGAGCAGCAGTAGCATCAGCAGTATGACAGACACTTCCACCCTGAGTTGGACCGCGACCAGCTCGACAACCTTGACCGTCACTATCAGTTCGCTCAGTTTTACAGAAACAACCAGTAGTAGATCCGCCACGTCGTGGACGAGCACTACGGAAACAAGCAGTACCACGATGTCGACCACGACGGAGTCCAGCACCAACTCGCAGACAAGCCGTACGGAATCCAGCAGTTCCACCGCTTCCACTACAACGAGATCTGTGAGCACGTCGCGAACAAGCAGTACGGAAACGAGCAGTAACACATGGTCGACCACGACAGAATCCAGCTCCACGTCCCAGACCAGCACTACGGGAACGAGCACTACCACGGGTTCCACCATTACGGAGTCGAGCACCACGTCCTGGACAAGCACTACGGCAACGAGCAGTACCACGGGGTCCACTTCCACGGAGTCGAGCAGTACCTCGGGGTCGTCCACCACGGATTCGAGCACCGCGTCGCGGACCAGCACTACGGAAACTAGCATGCGACCACGGTATGTCTTATCCATCAGTTGAATCGAAGCACCACGTCCCAGACAGCACAAGTACAGAATCGAGCAGTTCACAAGGTCGGACCACACGGTGTCGACACGACGTCCAGGGACCAGCACGACGGTCACGAGCAGTACACGTGGTCCACACTACGGAGTCAGTTAGCACCACGTCGTGGACGAGCACTACGGTCACGAGCTAGTACCCCCCCCCATTCTTACCCCCCATGAGGGAGTACCACCACGACGGAGGCGAGCACCACGTCCAAAACAGCATACGAGAAACGAGCAGTACCCACGATGTCGACCACGACGGAGTTACCAGCACCATCTCGCAGACAAGCCGTACGGAATCCAGCAGTTCCACCGCTTCCACTACAACGAGATCTGTGAGCACGTCGCGAACAAGCAGTACGGAAACGAGCAGTACCACATGGTCGACCACGACAGAATCCAGCACCACGTCTCGGACCAGCACTACGGGAACGAGCACTACCACGGGTTCCACCGTCACGGAGTCGAGCACCACGTCCTGGACAAGCACTACGGAAACGAGCAGTACCACGTGGTCCACTTCCACGGAGTCGAGCAGTACCTCAGGGTCGTCCACCACGGATTCGAGCACCGCGTCGCGGACCAGCACTACGGAAACTAGCAGCACCACGGTATCTACCATCAGTGAATCGAGCACCACGTCCCAGACCAGCAGTACAGAATCGAGCAGTTTCACAAGGTCGACCACAACGGTGTCGAGCACGACGTCCCGGACCAGCACTACGGTCACGAGCAGTACCACGTGGTCCACCACTACGGAGTCGAGCACCACGTCGTGGACGACCACTACGGAAACAAGCAGTACCACGATGTCGACCACGACGGAGTCCAGCACCATCTCGCAGACCAGCAGTACGGAGTCCAGCAGTTCCACCGCTTCCACTACAACGAGATCTGTGAGCACGTCGCGAACAAGCAGTACAGAAACGAGCAGTACCCACAAATTCGACCACGACGGGAATCCAGCACCGCGTCTCGGACCAGCACTACGGACGAGGCACTACCCGGTGTCCACCATTACGGAGTCGAAGCACCACGTCTGGACAAGCACTACGGAAACGAGCAGTATCACGGGGTCAACTTCCACGAGTCGAGAGTACCTCGGGGTCGTCCCCACGGATTCGAGGCACCACGTCGCGGACCAGACTTCCCCCCCCTTTCCCCCCCTCTCCTCCCCGGAAACTAGCAGCACCACGGGTATCTACCATCAGTGAATCGAGCACCACGTCCCAGACCAGCAGACAGAATCGAGCAGTTTCACAAGGCGACCACAAACGGGTGTCGAGCGACGACGTCCCCGGACAAGCACTACGGAAACGAGCAGCACCACAGTTTCCACGACCACCGATTCTAGCACCACGTCGTGGACGAGCACTACGGAAACGAGCAGTACCACGATGTCGACCACGACGGAGTCCAGCACCAACTCGCAGACAAGCCGTACGGAATCCAGCAGTTCCACCGCTTCCACTACAACGAGATCTGTGAGCACGTCGCGAACAAGCAGTACGGAAACGAGCAGTACCACATGGTCGACCACGACAGAATCCAGCACCACGTCCCAGACCAGCACTACGGGAACGAGCACTACCACGGGTTCCACCATTACGGAGTCGAGCACCACGTCCTGGACAAGCACTACGGAAACGAGCAGTACCACGGGGTCCACTTCCACGGAGTCGAGCAGTACCTCAGGGTCGTCCACCACGGATTCGAGCACCGCGTCGCGGACCAGCACTACGGAAACTAGCAGCACCACGGTATCTACCATCAGTGAATCGAGCACCACGTCCCAGACCAGCAGTACAGAATCGAGCAGTTTCACAAGGTCGACCACAACGGTGTCGAGCACGACGTCCCGGACCAGCACTACGGTCACGAGCAGTACCACGTGGTCCACCACTACGGAGTCGAGCACCACGTCGGTGACGAGCACTACGGTCACGAGCAGTACCACGTGGTCCACCACTACGGAGTCGAGCACCACGTCGGTGACGAGCACTACGGAAACGAGCAGCACCACGATGTCGACCACGACGGAGTCCAGCACCATCTCGCAGACAAGCCGTACGGAATCCAGCAGTTCCACCGCTTCCACTACAACGAGATCTGTGAGCACGTCGCGAACAAGCAGTACGGAAACGAGCAGTAACACATGGTCGACCACGACAGAATCCAGCACCACGTCCCAGACCAGCACTACGGGAACGAGCACTACCACGGGTTCCACCATTACGGAGTCGAGCACCACGTCCTGGACAAGCACTACGGAAACGAGCAGTACCACGTGGTCCACTTCCACGGAGTCGAGCAGTACCTCAGGGTCGTCCACCACGGATTCGAGCACCGCGTCGCGGACCAGCACTACGGAAACTAGCAGCACCACGGTATCTACCATCAGTGAATCGAGCACCACGTCCCAGACCAGCAGTACAGAATCGAGCAGTTTCACAAGGTCGACCACAACGGTGTCGAGCACGACGTCCCGGACCAGCACTACGGTCACGAGCAGTACCACGTGGTCCACCACTACGGAGTCGAGCACCACGTCGTGGACGAGCACTACGGAAACAAGCAGTACCACGATGTCGACCACGACGGAGTCCAGCACCATCTCGCAGACCAGCAGTACGGAGTCCAGCAGTTCCACCGCTTCCACTACAACGAGATCTGTGAGCACGTCGCGAACAAGCAGTACAGAAACGAGCAGTACCACAAGTTCGACCACGACGGAATCCAGCACCGCGTCTCGGACCAGCACTACGGGAACGAGCACTACCACGTGGTCCACCATTACGGAGTCGAGCACCACGTCCTGGACAAGCACTACGGCAACGAGCAGTACCACGGGGTCCACTTCCACGGAGTCGAGCAGTACCTCGGGGTCGTCCACCACGGATTCGAGCACCACGTCGCGGACCAGCACTACGGAAACTAGCAGCACCACGGTATCTACCATCAGTGAATCGAGCACCACGTCCCAGACCAGCAGTACAGAATCGAGCAGTTTCACAAGGTCGACCACAACGGTGTCGAGCACGACGTCCCGGACCAGCACTACGGTCACGAGCAGTACCACGTGGTCCACCACTACGGAGTCGAGCACCACGTCGTGGACGAGCACTACGGAAACAAGCAGTACCACGATGTCGACCACGACGGAGTCCAGCACCAACTCGCAGACAAGCCGTACGGAATCCAGCAGTTCCACCGCTTCCACTACAACGAGATCTGTGAGCACGTCGCGAACAAGCAGTACGGAAACGAGCAGTAACACATGGTCGACCACGACAGAATCCAGCTCCACGTCCCAGACCAGCACTACGGGAACGAGCACTACCACGGGTTCCACCATTACGGAGTCGAGCACCACGTCCTGGACAAGCACTACGGCAACGAGCAGTACCACGGGGTCCACTTCCACGGAGTCGAGCAGTACCTCGGGGTCGTCCACCACGGATTCGAGCACCGCGTCGCGGACCAGCACTACGGAAACTAGCAGCACCACGGTATCTACCATCAGTGAATCGAGCACCACGTCCCAGACCAGCAGTACAGAATCGAGCAGTTTCACAAGGTCGACCACAACGGTGTCGAGCACGACGTCCCGGACCAGCACTACGGTCACGAGCAGTACCACGTGGTCCACCACTACGGAGTCGAGCACCACGTCGTGGACGAGCACTACGGAAACAAGCAGTACCACGATGTCGACCACGACGGAGTCCAGCACCAACTCGCAGACAAGCCGTACGGAATCCAGCAGTTCCACCGCTTCCACTACAACGAGATCTGTGAGCACGTCGCGAACAAGCAGTACGGAAACGAGCAGTACCACATGGTCGACCACGACGGAATCCAGCACCACGTCTCGGACCAGCATTACGGGAACGAGCACTACCACGGCTTCCACCATAACGGAGTCGAGCACCACGTCCTGGACAAGCACTACGGCAACGAGCAGTACCACGGGGTCCACTTCCACGGAGTCGAGCAGTACCTCGGGGTCGTCCACCACGGATTCGAGCACCACGTCGCGGACCAGCATTACGGAAACTAGCAGCACCACGGTATCTACCATCAGTGAATCGAGCACCACGTCCCAGACCAGCAGTACAGAATCGAGCAGTATCACAGGGTCGACCACAACGGTGTCGAGCACGACGTCCCGGACCAGCACTACGGTCACGAGCAGTACCACATGGTCCACCACTACGGAGTCGAGTACCATGTCACGGACGAGCACTACGGAAACGAGCAGTTACACGGGGTCCACCACAACCGAAACGAGCAGCACCACGGCATCCACCACTACGGCGTCCAGCTCCACGTCGTGGAGCAGCACAACGGCATCGAGCAGTACTACGGTATCCACCACCAGTCAATCGAGCACGACGTCCCGAACCAGTGTCACGGAAACGAGCAGTACCACGGGGTCTACCACAACGAAGTCGAGCACCACGTCGCGGACCAGCAGTACGGAAACGAGCAGCACGACGATGTCCAAGACTACGGAGTCTACCACCACATCCCAGACCAGCACCACGGAATCGAGCACCTTCACCGTGTCCAGCACAACGGAATCTAGCACCACGTCGCGAACCAGCACTTCGGGAACGAGCAGCACCACGGGTTCCACCATTACGGAGTCGAGCACCACGTCGCGAACCAGCGTTACAGACTCGAGCATTACCACGAGTTCTTTCACCACGGAGTCTAGCACCACGTCGCGGACCAGCAGTACAGAAACAAGTAGTGCTACGGCGTCTACCACTACGGAGTCGAGCACGACGTCCCAGACCAGCATTACGGAGTCGTCCAGCTCAACCGAGACGGCTTCCAGTTTGACCCACTCCAGTACGGTGACAATATCCAGCTGGACAGAGACGCTCAGCTCCACTGTAACGTTTCGCCCCCTCGGAGGCTGTCTTGGGGGCCTCTCGCGGCCGCATTGGAGCCCTCTTGGGGTCCTCTTGGGCCGACTTCGCGGCCTCTGCGACCGTCTTGGGGGCCTCTTTGGGCCGTTTTGGGGCCCTCCTGGGCCGTCTTGGTGCCCTCTTGGGTGTTTTTTGGGGGCGTTCTGGGGCGATTCTGGAAGCTGCTTGGGACGTCATTGATTTTTGAGAGTCGAAAAAGGCGAGATCGTTAAAAGATATGAAAAACCATAGGAAAATAAGGATTTCGGCTTCTGGAGGCGCAGTTGTAGGCGCTCTTGGGGCCCTCTTGGGCCGTCCTTGGAGCTTTTGAGGCCGTCTTGGAGCCGTCTTGGGGGCCTCATGGGTCCCCGTTGGGAATATCTTGGGCCGTCTTGGGCCGTCTTGGGGCCGTCTTGGGCCGTCTTGGGGCCATCTTGGACCATCTTGAGGCCCTCGAGGAGCCCCCAGAGGCCCAAGAGGCCGAATGTGTTGATTTTCGCTGGTTTTTGTAAGTTTTTAGGGCCCCAGAACGGGGGCGTCACTTTGGTCCGGCGGTGTGGCGCAGCTCCCAGGGGGGTTAGGGGGGAGACATCATAATGTAACACAATACAACTTGTGGCAAGTATGCAATCATTGGATAAATTGGATACGTTGCAGTAAGGCGTTCGCCGAAAAACGCTGCCGCTCAGCACGTCACCTCTGGACGTGGATTTCTAAGGCTTACGCCACACCGCCGACCCCTTTGGGGACTGGCAGTTGTTGTGTCTTGCTCCTGAGGGCCTCTCGGGCGCCTTTTGGGGGCTTGATTATCGAATGGCCTTCGGCACATCCCGCCACCGTGCCTGGGCTGCGGGTCTGAGGCCACGCGGATGGCAGACGGGGTCTCGTGGGAGGCGTCTCGGGGGCTTTTGGGAAGCAGATTTCGAACCGCTTGAGGGCCTCCTGGAGGCCTGTTGGAAGCTTTTTCCGGGCCTCTCAGGGCTCCATGGGAGCCTGTTGGGGGCTTCTTGGGTCAGCCGGGGTCGGTTCAGGGTCGAAGGCTCGAAGTGTTCGTTTGGGTTTCCGCCCCAGGCCCCCTGTGTTCGTTTAGGTTTCCGCCCCAGGCCCCCTCTTGGGGCTGTCCAGGAGCCCCCCTAACCGTCTTGGGGTCTCCTTGAGCGGCCTTGGGGCGCTCGTGGGAAGGAGCTGATCTCGGACCCAGCCGAACTTGGACCGGGCTGAACTTGGACCTGGCTGAACTCGGACCCGGCTGATCTCGGACCCGCTGAACTCGGACCTGGCTGAATTCAGACCCGGCTGATCTCGGATCCAGCTGCATTCGGACCCGGTTGCGGTTAAACTCGGACCCGGCTGGTCTCGGAGCCCTTGATCTCGGACCGGGCTGAGTTCCCTTGTGTCCGAGTTCAGCTGGGTCCGAGTTCAGCTGGGTCCCAGATCAGCTGGGTCCAAGTTCAGCTGGGTCCGAGTTCAGCTGTGTCCGAGATCAGCCAGGTCCGAGCTCAGCTGGTGTCCTTGGGTCGTCTGTGAGCCCTCTCAGGGGCCTCTTGGGTCGTCTTGGGGCGATCCAGGAGGCTTCTTGGGCTGTCTTGGACGTTGTGAACGTACACGAGGCGAATGTGGTGAACTCGGGGCCTCTCGGTACCCTCTTGGCCTGTTTTCAAGCTCTCGGCCCCCACGCGATGCGTTCGGGCGGTTCCCGGGGGACCCTCCCCCCTCTAAATCGACCAGACCAGGCTCCCGGGGGAGGGGTTTGGGGAGGGGCGGATTTCGAGCTGCAGCGGTTCCCGCCCCCTGCGACGTCGGATATCGGGGTCCTGCCTGTCTTCCTCCTCCTGCTCCTCCTGCTCCTCCTGCTCCTCCTCCTCCTCCTCCTCCTCCTCCTCCTCCTCCTCCGCCGCCCCCCCCTCCTCCTCCGATTCCCCATCCTTCTCCACAATTTCCCAATCTGAACACTGCTCTCCCTCTCTTCCGAAGATGGCCGCGGAGTCGCCCGCACGCCTCCGCGTACTTGTAAATATATGTATGTCTGTATGGTGTATGCATATATGTATGTACGTGCATACGTATATGTACATGTGCATGTATATGTATATGTAAGTGTTTGGGTGTTTATATTTATATATATATATATATATATATGCATGTCGGCATGTACATATGGATGACTATGTACATGCACATGTATATGCATATATATATATATATATATATATATATATAGACGTGGGTGCACGTATAGGTATGTGTATGTGCATGCGTATATGGACATGCACATGCATAGTATAGGCACATGTAGGTGTAGGTGTACATGTATATGTTTGCAGATGTGTATGTACAAGGTACATGTATCTGAATGCGTATAGGTACATGCAGATGTCCATGTATATGTTTATGCATGTGTATATGTATATGCATGTGCATACATACACAGGACGAAATATGTTCCTCTTGAGGTGCACATGGCGATGGTGAGTTGGAAGTTAATGACCAACACCCCTTCCCCCGTAGAATCTTGACACGGGCGGGTTCCAGGGTCCGCGGATCCGATTGCTTCCGGCTTCCCGCTTTATTTTAGCCATGCAAATTTACACACTGGTAAAAAAATGGGTTCGCCGTCAAACACAAGACCGACCACAGATCCAGCAAATCCGAAGTCGGATCCGCGCGAACGGAAATCTGATCCACCGAAGCAGACGCCAAAACCACAATTGGATCCGCGCGAACTTCACGGGATCCGACGGCGGTTATCTCATGCGCGTATGTTCAAGATTTGAACTCGTCGTTGCGTGACAAGAGGAAACAACTATCGTCCTAGGGATGTATTCATATGTATATGTGTATGTATATGTAACTGTATAGGTGTATGTGTATGTATATGTATGTGTATATGTATAGGTGCATGAACATGTACATGTACATGTATATGTATATATGTATGCTTAGTTATACGGGTATTTGTAGAAGTCGGTTTGTAGTATTTGGTAAGTCTATAAAAAATACGTCGAACGCTCTCGGTGTCTCAAAATAGTGTTGCCGCTGCAGCGATGGACTCATTATTGGATCTGCGCTTTGTTCCCGTCGTTCATACTGGCGCTCTCGCCGCAGCGCGCAGCGCGGGCCACTTTTCTGGATCCGAGTCCTTCCTCATCATTGTCGCCCCTTCCTTTCCCATCCTCCGCCGTCCCCTGGTTCTCCTGCTCCTCCAGCTCCTTCCACTCCAGTTTCTGCTTCTGCTGTTCGTCCTCCCCCTCCTCCTTCCTCCTCCTCCGCCTCCTTTTCGTCCCGCCCATCCCAGTGCTTATCCGTCACCTTCTTCTCCTTCTCCCCCTCCTCCTATGCACGCAGCTCCTTTTTTCCGATTGCGCATAACACGACTTTTTATCCCCATATCCTAAGATGGGGTTCTTGTTATTACTTGGACGCCTCCTACTCCTCCTTCTCCTTCTCCTTCTCCTCCCCTTTCCTCCTCTTACCCAGACTTACTCATACACAGACTGACTCACACTCAGACTTACTCATACCCAGACTTACCCACACACATAATCATTCTTACTCAGACCTGCTCATACTCAGACCTACTCCTACTCAGACTTCCTCATGGTGCGACTCACGCACGCCCCGTTCGCGGCCGTTTTGTGAGGATGCCTCAAGCGGTTTGCTTGTTTTCTGTCCCAACATCCTTGGCTACCAGAGCAGATTGTGAGGATGTCTGAGGCGGGGCGCTGGTTTCAGCTCTCCCTGAGGGGAGCCGCCAGGGGTTATCTTACGGTCCCGCTCGCGGCCGTTTTGTACGGATTTCTCAGAGGCGGTTTGCTTATTTTCTGTCCCAACATCCTTCGCTTTCGGAGCAGATTTGGAGGATGTCTCGAGCGAGGCGCTCATTTTCACCCCCCGAAGGGGAGCTGCCGGGGGTTATCTCACGGTCCCGTTTGCGGCCGTTTTGTGGGGATGTCTCAAGCGGTTTGCTTGTTTTCTGTCCCAACATCGCTTTCGGAGCAGATTTGGAGGATGCGTCGAGCGAGGCGCTCAGTTTCACCCCCCGAAGGGGAGCTGCCAGGGGTTATCTCACGGTCCCGTTCGCGGCCGTTTTGTGGGGATGTCTCAAGCGGTTTGCTTGTTTTCTGTCCCAACATCCTTTGTTTTCGGAGCAGATTTGGAGGATGCGTCGAGCGAGGCGCTCAGTTTCACCCCCCGAAGGGGAGCTGCCAGGGGTTATCTCACGGTCCCGTTCGCGGCCGTTTTGTGGGAATGTCTCTAGCGGTTTGCTGTTTTTTCGTCTCAGCATTCTTTGCTTTCGGAGCAGATTTGGAGGATGCGTCGAGCGAGGCGCTCAGTTTCACCCCCCTAAGCCAGGGGTTATCTCACGGTCCCGTTCGCGGCCGTTTTGTGGGGATGTCTAGGATGCGTCGAGCGAGGCGCTCAGTTTCACCCCCCGAAAAGGAGCCGCCAGGGGTTATCTCACGATACCGTTCGCGTGGGGATGTCTCAAGCGGTTTGCCTGTTTTCTGTCACGGTATCCTTCGCTTTCGGAGCAGATTTGGAGGATGTCTCGAGCGAGGCGCTCATTTTCACCCCCAGGTGGGCCAGATTTTGAGGATGTCTCGATCGGTGGCCAGACTCGTGGGCACAGATTTTCTTCAGGACGCCACAGGAGGCTCCAACAGGCTCCAGGAGGCACCAGGAGACCACATGAGGTTCCAGGAGGCATCAGGAGGCCACAGAAAGATTCAAGAGGCCACAGGATGTCTCAAGAGGCTTTAGGAGGCCCCAGGAAGCTCCGGGATGCTTCAGGAAGCCACAGGAGGCCCCAGGAGGCCAGAGGAAGCGCCAGGAGGTCTCGGAAGGCAACAGGAGGCCCCCAGAGGCCCCAGGAACAGGAGGCCTCAGAAGGCAACAGGAGTGTCTCCAATCCCATGTGTTTGATGTATGCTCCTATAGATTGGGCCTCACCTGGAGCACGAATCCTTGATGTAATACGTATGTTTCTATAGATTGTCCTTTTCCTGTGTACTTATGTTCCTATAGGGCCTCTCCTGGGGCACGAGTCCTTTGTGTTTTACGTGTGTTCCTGAGATTGCCCCCTTCTCCTGTGGCTCCAATCCGCAATGTTTTATGTAGGTCTGTTGCTATAGATTGGGCCTCTCCTGGGGTACGAATCCTCCCTAGGAGGTCCCAGGAGGCCCCAGGAGGCCCCAAGAGGCTCTTGGAGGCCCCAGGAAGCCCCAGTAGGTTTCAGGAGGCCCCAGGGAGCGCCAGGAGAACCCAGGCTCATGCGCAGAGACGCGCACGTACTACTGAGGCTCATTCACACTCCAGTTCATTCTCAGTTAGATTCATGACCAGACCGTCACAACTGAAGCCCGTTTATATCCGAGAGCTCTTGCGCCTAGACATTCACGGCGGACAGGTCCATGCGAATAGATGAAGATATGGGGAGCTCCACGCAGTGAATAATTTGTTGTGGGGGATTTCCAGGTCCGCTATGACACGCGTCCGCGGATAGAGAAAAATCGGCCAGGTGGGACGGGACGGGTGGGAGGGGTAGGATGACAGGTATGGCGCGAACGCAGCTAGCTTGCCTTCCCCCCTCTTCTCCTTCTCCTCCCCAAAGTTACACAATATGAATACTACTCTCCCCTCTCCCCTGGTGGCGTCCGGGTATTGGTTTATTCACACACAGGATTCCTGGGAGTTGGGTT